TTTCAGATCCAAGCCGAATTTTAATTGCATAGGTTTGCTCTTATGTAGGGCAAGCATTTCTTCTCCCCTTGAAGTAGACAGGGCAAGTGCAGGTTTGCTGGAGTGCTGTCGGTACGATTGGGGTTGTTGTTTTGGAGTTGTGATTGTGTGCCTTCAAGCTGTTTCTGACTTATGGCGACCCTAAGATGAAGCTATCGTAGGGTTTTCTTGGCAAGGTTTGTTCAGAGGGGGTTTACCTTTGCCTTCCTCTGAGGCTGAGAGAATGTGACTTGGCCAAGGTCACCCAATTGGTTTCCATGACCGAGCAGGGATTTGAACCCTGGTCTCCAGAGTAATAGCCCAACACTCAAACCACTACACCTGCGCCCGCCAACTAGGACACGTGGCCAAGTAACATCAGAGTGTGGTCAAGTTGGCAAAAGTTGAGAATGTATTCCTGACGTTTCACCTGCATCTGTGGCTGACATCTTCTGAGAATGGTGGCATGGAGGTGTGAGGGGTATACCAAGGGTCTCACAATATATATATACCCCACACACCTCCATGCCACCATTCTCTGAAGATGTCAGCCACAGATGCAGGTGAAACGTCAGGAATACATTCTTCTAGAACATGGTCTCACAGCCCCCCAAACCCACAAAAAACTATTCCTAGCTACAGTTTTACTGTTTTCTCATGGCTTAAAAAAAGGGGCATATAAGACTAAAAAAAAAAAGAGGATTGTCCAAGCCACTGTGTTTCCCATCATCATGTACGGATGTAATAGTTACACCGTGAAGAAAGCGGATAGGCAGACAATTAATTCATTTGAGATGTATAATAACATCCCAGATCCATAAAACAGTGATACCTTGAATTGGACGACTGACTGAAATGCACAAACACACATGATGCAAGCTTTCAGAGCTCCCCTTGCATCATGTGCATTTTTGTGCATTTTGGTTAGCCTATTAAAGGTATCACTGTTTTCTGGATTTGGGATGTTATTGTATTTTGCTATATAGAATCATAGAATCATAGAGTTGGAAGAGACCACAAGGGCCATCCAGTGCAACTCCCTGCCATGCAGGAACTCCCTATCAAAGCATCTCTGACAGATGGCCATCCAGCCTCTGCTTAAAGAATGGCCAACAAGACTAGCTCTGAAAATGTTCGTTGGAGATGTGGTGCTGGAAAAGAGTGCTGAGGATGCTGTGGACAGCCAAAAAGATTAATGGTGGTCTTTGATCAGATCAAGCCTGAACTCTCATTGGAAGCCAAGAGAATCATAGAATCATAGAGTTCGAAGAGACCACAAGGGCCATCCAGTCCAACCCCCTGCCATGCAGGAACTCCCAATCAAAGCATCCCCGACAGATGGCCATCCAGCCTCTGCTTAATCCAGCCTCTGCTTAAGAGGATCAAATGGAGGCTGTCATACCTTGGCCATATTGTGAGAAGGCATGGATCACTAGAAAAGACAATAATGCTAGGAAAGGTGGAGGACAGGAGAAAGAAAGACCACATGCTAGATGGTTGGACTCTATTAAGGAGGTCACGAGTATGAATTTGCAGGACCTGAGCAGAGCAGAGGAGGACAGGGACTCTTGGAGATGCCTCATCCACAGGGTCTCCATGAGTCAAGGTTGACTTGAAGGCAGTTAACAACAGTAAGTAAGGAGTTAGGGCTTTACAAAGGATCAAGATAGCCTGGATCCCAAGAGAAGTTACTTTACTACTGCTAATGGAGTTTAAATTTGACTGCCCTTTGTCCTGGCCCTCATATGGCCAAGAGAATTTGCTTAGGTCCTGCAAACCCAGGCCCATGACCAACTTAAGAGTGTCCATCCATCTAGCATGCAGTCTTCCTCTCTTTCTACATCTCTCCACCTTTCCTAGCATTATTGTCTCTTCCAGTGAGTCATTCTTTCTCATGACATGACCAAAATACGACAGCCTTAACTTGATCATCTCATCTTCCAGGGATAGTTCAGGCTTGATCTGCTCCAGGATCCATTAGTTTGACTTCTTGGCCATCCACGGTATCCTTAACCCTCTTCTCCAGCACCACATTTCAGATGGGTTGATTTTCTTCCTATCTGCTTTCTTCACTGCCCAGCTCTTACATCCGTTCTGTTTGAAATATTTAAAATTCTCAATATTCCTCCCTAAACTAGGAATCCCAAGATTCCATAGGATGGAGCCATGGCAGTTGAAGTGGAATCACAGTGCTATAATGGTGTGGTGTGAAAGGGTCCTTAATCTTTGTCCTCAAGATCCTATGGGGTCCTATATGGGCATCCTGTGGTCACTTACTCAGAAACAAGCCGGTGCATGGAAAAAATGACTGGAGAAAACTACAACTCCTGGAATATCTTCCCAGTGAGACACTGACAAATCAAGGTGTTGTAGCCCCTAAAATTAAAATTTCAACATTTGGAAGGAAACCTTGCAGTCTCAGAATGGAGCTTAGATAGAGATGAAGGCAAGTATTTTGACTGATGGGAGAAGGAAGTTATAGTTGTTACATCCTTGCCAAGGAAAGTATCCCAACTAAAGTCTGAAGTTAAACATTTCTAGGTGGAAAAAACAAGTGTTTAAGGGCTATATTATTTGGAGATTTACTGTCAAGCTGACTTTGACATATGGTGACCCTTTGAATGGGAGACTGCCAAAAAAAACCAACCCTTTAGCTATAACCACAGATGTTTTTGGTGGTTGTTCTTGTTTGCTGTCAAGTAAAGGCACCAGATGCCTTCTCATCTGGGGTGCATCTAAAGAATGCAGTTTGACACCACTTTAAGAGCTGTAGCTTCATCCTGTGAACTCCTGGGATTTGTAGTTTTCCAAGACCTTTAGCCTTCTCTGACAAAGAGTGCTGGGGCCTCACCAAACTCCAAATCCTAGGGTTGTTGGATGGAGCCATGGCACTTAAAGTGGTGTCAAACTGGATTATTTCTACAGTGTAGATGCACCCAAAGATCCATTCGTTGGTCTTTTTAACTCCCCAGAGTATCCACAGTTCTCTCCCCCAGCCCCAAACCTTAAATGAGTTGATTCTCTTCCCATGTGCTTTCAACAGCGTCCAGCTTTCTGTCCCAAAATATGGAAATTTCTTACAAACCAGGGTATCACCTATTCCTTGGTTGGTTCTGCAACCTTGGCTGTCTGGTGGAAGGAGAAATTGAGAAAATGCGAGGCTGCCCTGATGGGATGTTGGTAGAAAAAAGCCTCTGTGAAGTGGTTTTTAGGAGGAATGTTTAGTTTTGCAAGCCAGTAAATTACAGGGCATGCGAGAACATCATCGCTCTCTTCCTGGAAACATGTTGCTGAAGTCCATGGAGAAAATGAGCCAAAACTGCCCTCCCTCTCTAAAAATCCGAATTATGCACGGAGGAAGGGCAAAGCCTGTCACGGTGGTTGGCAAAGAGAAGGCAGATCAAGTAGATCTACATATTTTGCTTTGCTCAGATGGGGAAGATTGTTTCTGTAGTTGGTGGATTGCTTTGGCGTCAAGAGCAAAAAATGACATCTTCCCCACC